TAAAAAGATATAAAATATCCATAATGAGTATAATATGAAATAAATATGGAAATGATAAAGTTATTATTGCATAGATCTTTATAAAGAAAAAAAAAAAACAAAAAAGTTTAAAAAAGAAAAAGAAAAACGTTATATACTTACAATAAAGAAAAGAAATAACTTTTTTAATGATGAATACATTTGTGAATGATTTAAAAAGATTTCTTGTTCAGTTTTTGGAAATAGTTTCCTCATTTTATTATACCATTGAATATCAAGAAGATAATTAAAGATATCTTTGAATAATAAATGAATATTAAAAAATGATAAATAATCAAGAATATTTATTTTTTGATCAAGAATTTCAATTGATTCAATTGGTTTCTGAATTTTTGATGCCGTTGTTGTTGTTGTCGAGGATAGATTATGTTCAGCCATAAGATCAGCTACAGGACCCATAAGTGGATCAATATCTTCATCGAAATCATTCATTGTTAAGTATTTTTGTTAATCAAAAAATAAACTGTCGCAAAAGAACAATGAAATATTCGTTAATATAAATTCATATTAAATTTATATGATTACTTATAAATTCAATAAAATGAATCTAGAACTAATAACAATTGTTATTATTTAACAAAAATCAATGCTTTACAATATTATTTAAACATAACAACTAATTTCATTTATCTGACATGGATTATAGAGAATATACAATAAAAACAAATATATTTTTATATATCTGACATAATAAAAAGATTTATTTGACATCAAGAATTTGTAAATGATCGTAGAGTTCTTCTGAAAACAAAAAATTGAAAAGAAAATTTATTTAAACGATAAAAAAAACCGAAAGAAAACATACGTAATCGTTCAACAATTGGTGCTGTTATTTTTAAATCTTTTTTCTTCTTTTTTAACCATAAAACATGTTCTTCATGTAATTTATCTAATTCTTTAATTAATTTTATTTTATTATTAGAATTTTCTATTTCATCTTCATCTTCATCATCATCAGAATTTCTATAATGATAATATTTATTAATTTGTTGTTGAATAAGTTCATCAAATGATAATAAATTTCTATTAATATCTAATTTAGATAGATGTTCTTGTTGTAAACGTTTTAATTCTTCAACATCACGTCGATAGATTTTAGCTAATTGTATTTGATCAGATAGAAACCATGATAAATATGGACAAAGTTCATCTTCTTTATTAATATAATTTGTTTCTAATAATTCAAAACGAGATAATAATTCAACAATACCAGATTTAATCTAATAAATTTATTTAAAAACAAAAAAAAATAATGATTAATTTTTCTTTTTGTTTTAAGAAGAAAATATTTTACTCGATCAAATTCTTTTTTTAATTCAATTGTTAATGCTTTTTTTTCTTCAATTCGTCGTTCAAGATCGACAATTTTTGTTGCAATTAAACGAATTTCTTGTTGAAAACGACTTAATTCTATTTGTTGAGCTGCACGACGTTGACCATGTTTAGCAGCTGATTTCCATTCACGTTCAGCAATTTGAAGTTCTTCAATTTTCTAATGTACAAAAAAAAAAAAAAAAAAA